AGGATACATTTGCTACAATGAATATTTTCTTTTTATCTATTTCTATGCACCCTAAAATATGCATGTGTAAACTCACTGTGCCATTTATTGGTTTCAGATTGAAGTTAATTAATCACTTATCAGTGACAGCCAAATGTTTCCAGCTAAAATGCCAAAAATCTTTTTCACTGTCCATGAGGAAAAAAAAATTATAATTAAAATTAAATAAAATTCTTAAGATAGTGATAAATGCTTCCCTTACTCAATCCAAAGCCTTTGAATTTGAAGGACTATTTTGGAATAAAACTGCAAAGCCAATTTCGGAACTGCAATGAGCCTTCAGAATAGACAGTGGAGCTGTACTGAGCAAAATCATACTTGGGAGTCACCATTATCACTGTGTTCCTAGAGCTGGCTTCTAGTTTTCCATTAAATCTCCATTTCAGAATAAGACTCCTCACTCTAAAATGAACCTGAAAATGTCATCATTCAAGGCAGCAATTACATACCTACTTCATATACCCAATACTTCAGCACCCGGTCTAAACTAGATTTCTAATTTCACTGTCAGCTGAGAGAATAAACCAACCTGATTACCAGCTTTTAAGGTATTTTCATCAGCAGCCCCACTATCACACAACCACTGCACCATCTCACCCAGAGACAAGGTGACAAACCAGGACACAGCAAGGGAGATTCTCTGCTGACAGGGACACTTTTCAGAGCAGTAAAAGCACACACATTATTCCACCCTTTCAAGTTGGACTGGATGTTAATGCAGGTCTTCAGTGTATGAAGAAGTGCTGAAAGCAACAGGTGCCCCCAGAAAAGGGAATGCACCCTTTGCCTGTCCTTTGGATCCCAACATACTGTCCCAGCAGCAGAAGTTCCTTCCAAACCCAAAGGGAAGCATGACAGGTCCTCAGCAGACAGGTACACAAAGCATATAGGCACAGGATAAGTACAAGTATGCACACAGCATGTCTCGCTGCCAGAGGAAGCCATGCCCACTTATTTGTATTCTGAAACCCAGAGGCCCAGTATCCTTAAAAATCAATTTAAATTGAGGTTTTTTTGTTAAAAATGAAGCAGCTCTTTGGTTTTTAACAAGATTTGTCCGGTTTGCCTGTTGGCTTTCCTTCTCGCTGGCTTTCTTTCCTTTTAACTAAATTAAAGATTCTTGTTCCACAGCTGTAGCACAGCATTCACATTAACTTGTAATTAATGCTTAAAATGCAAAAAAACACCAATATTCTTTGCTCTGTTGAGTTCTCAACACACTTCCATCATTTTAACATTAAGCATACTACAGCTGTGCAGATTATGCTTAAAGGCTGCATGGCAATAAAGAGAACAAATTATGAAATGAACTAAGCATCTGAAATAGTAAATCAAGGAAAGAAAAGTTGTCTTTATGTTATCAAAATTACCAGATAAAACAACAGTTAAAGGAATCCAATGGAAAGCAAAAAACCTTGGGGAAAAAAAATTAGAGTTGATATTAAAACTGACCAATCCCCCAGCTGTTAGAAAAATCCAAAAATTAATAGTATCACCTGAGGATTGAAATGGTGCTACTTGGAAAACCCTGATGAAAATGCTGATGAGGGAGAATGGGACTCCAATGAAACAACTGAACATATAGCTCATCTTCTAGAAAGGAAGTGGTTCTAGAATTACTAATTATATCTATAATGAAGACTGAAGTTCAAAGGACCTCAAGGAGGTAAAAACAAAAAAAAAAAAAAAAAAAAAAAATGGTCAGAACTACTCCCTGGAACCCCCTGCAAGTGGCAAACATACAGGAAAAATATGGATGAAAACCAGGGGAGTCAGAGACTGAGCATTTGTTGAGAGTGAGTCTCTCAGGAGCAGGAAGAATATTGCTGGATGGAAATGAAGCTGACGGTACTGGGGGCCAGGAGTGCTATTAAACCTAGGACCTGAGCCTATCAATCAACCCCATTCAATAATCAGCAGGGTTGCATATTGGGCAGGAGGAACAGAGGTTATGGAAAGAGCAGTACCAGCTTCCATACCCATCTGGCCATCTTATGAAATATTCACCACTGTTGCAAGGCAACGTACGGACACTTAAATGGATATATCCCAATCTCCCCAGAAGTCGATCCTGATACATTAAGACCTCTATTGAAAGAAGCTCTGGTAACATTAAAAATGTTTTCAGTAGGGTGGAGATGTATTACATAATGAAGAGTTACAAGATTCCCAAGACGACCTATCCTCTTGGGCAAGACTCTTTCATAACACAGTAAACCATGCAAGGGAAATGGGCTGGGAAACTCACTCCAGAGAACAAACTTGGCCCTTTGAGAGGGGCCCAAAAACTGAAGTACAGAGACCTCCTGAGCTCCAGGTGAGGGCTTATAAACAAACCCTGCCTGAGACAAAAGAAGGATTAAAGCATCCCTGAAGAAAAATGAGCTGTGGAGGATGGTGGTAGCTTTAGGTACTCCTCATGCAGCTCTCAGGCAACAAGAGAACACTTAGTGGAAACAGTGCAAGGGGGAAACATGAAAAATAAAAAGCTTTCACAGAAGAAACATACCCTCAACTCTTTGAGGAAAGGAAGAGACATGGAAGAGAAAACCTCACTAAGTGCTGGGAGAACTTTAAGCTTTATCACGTGGTGCATTATGATCTATCAACGGGGCTGACAAAGGACAAGCTCCATATTTACTTACCAGCAGGACCTAGAAAACATCCTTTGAAATATGTGATTGATAAGAGGAACTCAAATTTCGCTAAAACACCCCAAAGGATGCTGAGAAATTAGACATAAGCTTTAAAAGAAATAGGGCCCATGCACCAGAATTTAACGGACAAAGTAATTCATGTTATACTGCCAAAGTCTGTTTATGTTTACATGGGGAAAGACAATGGACCTCACACACCCTTGCAATCATGGAGCACGAAGAAAATACTTTAGGATACAATATCTTTAAAGGAGAAATTTGGCAATTGCCTGATGGGAATATTTGGTCATTTGGGCCCACAAAAACTCCAAGTAATTTTTCTGAATAGAATGAGAGCATTTATTCAACATCTAATGGTTTTAAGCATGTACTGACAGGAATGAAAGTGGCATTTGGACTGTTGGCTGTCACTAAAGGCAGGTATGCGAATGCCAAAGCTACTATTTCAGGGCTCTCTAACTGCTTTTCCAGTCTTTCTGTTTCAGATTACACACAAAGTGTCAATGGATCACTCTTGACCAGCATAACGGCACAGCACTGGGACAGAAAGGAGGGTATCAAAGGAATTTTTTATATTATTATGAAATCATTAACCTTATTATCTCCAAGCAAACAGGATGGTGCAATGTGCTGATGACTTGTTGAAAAGCTACTTTACACCTCACGCATCTGGATGGGATGAAAGGTTACCCTCCGTGTTATACGAGATAGATAAATGACAAGGACCATGGTATAATGTGGACTTGTGCAGTGCTGGCTTTCTGTCAAGGGCAGTCTTTGACAATGAGAGTTGTCTGGGCAAGAGGATACTCACACAGCAGCACACCTCACAGCTCCTACAGCCTGCCTGGCCTGTGCTTCAGATCACTCCATCTTGAGGTGTGACCCAAACAGAATGCACAAAAGAAAAGAGCTTTGCAGGAGGTGACCATTTGGAGTCATTGTGGTACCTTTTCTTTTAACTACTTTACTACAGGCTACCAAAGTTCTGACTACAGCAGAGCTCCCACACTCCACTGAGTGGAGTCAGAAGTGAGTGAAAAGACTTTAATTTCTCAAGAGTTAGAATAATAGAATACTTAAGGTTGGAAGAGACCTTTAAGATCATCAAGCTGAACCACCAACCCAGCATCACCACCATGTTCACCATTAAACCTTGTCCTTGAGTGCCATATCCATACCTTTTGGAATATTTTCAGGGATGGTGACTCTACCATCTCCCTGGACAGCAGGTTTAATGTTTTATAACCCTCCATAAAGAAATTTTTCCTAATATCCAATCTATGCTTCCCCTGGTGCAATTTGAGGCCATTTCCTCTTGTCCTGTTACTTCTACCTGAGAGAAGAGATTGGACTGCACTTGTCTATAACTGCCCATTCCCACTTTTACTAACAGGTCTTCATATATGGAGGTAAAATAGAGGATCACAGAAAGAACTAAGAGCGTCTCTGAAAATGCAATTGAGCTCAAATTAGACAATCTGATGCCTTGAACAGCTTCTCTGAGTTACACAAGACTCACAAAGCATGGAAAAGCTGAAGTGAGAAGCAAGTAGTCACTTCAATAAACTTAGTGACTTTCTAACCATTTCTGTCAGCAGGTGGAGCAGTAACAGCGTTACATACAGAGACAAATATGTCGATCTATCATGTCTATATATGTCTATCTATCAAATATGCCTATACACATATATAGATAATCTCTTTTTTAAAATGGGGGGAACGGGAATATCACACTATACGATAAGAAAAAAAGTTTTCTCAAACAGGATGTTTATGCTTAAATTTGCAAAGTGCTGCCCCTGGTGTCACAGCAAAGAGAGGGGCAAATTCTGAAAGGACCTCCAGCAGCTCTGCTGTAGGATTAGTCTCAGCAGCTACCAGCTAACTGGAGTTTCTGCCTGTGCTCTTCCTCCAGGGTCTAGTCGTATTGTTACACAGAGCCAGGCAGGGATCCTCAGGGACTGCGAGTGGTCCTTTGAGAGCACCAGCTCCTCTTCTTCACCTTATTGCAGGGCAGACCAGTGGGAAAATGGTCAAAAAACATTTTTTATTTTCCTTTACCAAAAGCATAACGATAGAACCATATGAGCTTAACTTCCAAGGTCTATTAAAAAAATCATACACCGCCTCCTGTGCTTCACAAATGAAGCCAAGAATGTAGTGGCTATGCACAGGTGCATTTCCTAAGCAGAAAGAACTTCGGCAATCCAACAACTATTCAAGTGTGTTATTCTACTATTTCACTGGTTAACTGAAGACCAAAAGCCTCTATGCTACAATAGTGTTTATCTCAGTACTGACCATTATCTTGAAGGACTCCTGTGGAAGCTTTTACCATCTGTTTTACTTTTGTAGAGCGGTTAGAAAAGTGTTGCCTGGACACAGAATTCTCTGGGTTCTGGCTTTTTTTGTCTTTTCTTTTGGGAAGCTGAGGTGAGGAACTATTTTCTCCCTGGTCACTGGATCCAATGGTAGATTTAGATTGCCGATCATTTCCCTGGAAAGAAGAGGATGTAATTATCAGTGATGCAAAATTAAGAAGCTTGTTTTTAAAATTTCACTAAGGACTACTATTGGGTGCTAAAGAAGCATAATAATTTACAATTATCACATTTAAGTGGTATCTTAAACTATCCAGAGAAGTATAATTATCTTATCAACTTACTGTATGATCCGACCAATTAAATTCTCAACAGCTTCCAGGAAAAAAAATGCCGTATTTATTATAAGAAAATAATGTTTCATTTAATGAAAAGAATGGCTAGATGAATCCATGCATGCATGCATATTATATGCAGCTATCTCTCATCCATACGTGTGGACAGTCACAAGATATAACACGTATGGCTTGTTAATAAATCACTGTGTAAATGAGACCTGGGCATTATTTTAAGTGTCAAGAGAAGCTGGAGGAGAATGACAGTCTCCATGGGGCTGTAACACATTCAATAGAATGGAACAGAAATTTGTATATTTTATTGCTTACTTCTTTTTAGTGGCTCCAGAGACTTGTTTTGTTTTATAAACAAAATATGTGAATGGACATGATCAACTACCACAATTATAATGCCAGACTGTGAGTCTGATTCCCTGCTGTCTTGTGCAGTTTACTGTACTTATGGAGAACTGGTGAAAACATATTCTGTTTTGGCACTGAAATTAAATCCACAGAGGACTCTTGTAGCAAGGTGGAGTTAGGCTCTTCTCCCATTCAACAAGCAACAGGACAAGAGGAAAGGGCCTCAAGCTATGCCTGGGCAGCTCAGGTTGGACATGAGGAAGAATTCCTTCATTGAAACAGTGATTAAGCATTGGAACAGGTTGCCCAGGGAAGTGGTGGAGTCACAATTCCTGGAAGTGTTTANGTGTTTAAGAAACAACTGGACATGGCACTTTGTGCTAGGGTTTACTTGACATGGTGGTGATAGGTCAGAGATTGAACTCGGTGACCCTGGGGGTCTTTTCCAAGCTTAATGGTTCCATGACTCATTTTGTACACAAATAAATAGCTATATAGAATACAAAGCAGTGAAGGATCAAGCTCTGTATGTAGTGGTTACCTAGAATAAAACATACCAGATTGCAAACCAGTTTAGGGTCATTTTCATACTCAGCCCACAATTTTCTGCAAAATGTTTTGTAAAAGGTTCAGTGTTTTTCCTTTAGGTATATAATTTGAATAAACACATAAATATATATGATCATGTTTATAGGAAAGACCTCAAGCCAGCAGCTGATCTTTGCTATGGAAGCTTTTATCAAAAACAAAGCATCACTTATCACAACAATATTTTCTCAGATTTCTTCTGTCTAATTGACTGCAAATAGCTACAGATTCATCAGTCTTTAATAAGCATGCCACCAGGTGACTGTGGATTTTTTTCTTTTCAGATTTAATTAAAACCCAAAGGACAGGGACTTTCCATCTGCCAGAATTTAGCTGAATTGGAAATTCAATACTTACACTGCCTTTAGACTTTCGAGATCCCACAATCGGAGGTAGTACAGAGGTTTTGGAACTGCACAAATAAGCCAGATATTAGAATTGTGTACACTGTCACTGGCACAGACACTATCTATCTATGATCAAGGCAGATAACACCAAGATGGCTATGCAAGAGAGGTAATAACCATTAACCATTAAAATAACATTAACTTATTCAAAAACGTGCATTACCCCACAATGCATACTTTATATACCAAAACCTTGCAAAGCAGCATCCAGTGAATTACTATGTGAATGCTCCTTACAATTTCAACCTTTCCATTTATTTCAATGAAATGGTAACAAATTTTCATGTTTTCCAAAGGTACAAAAAGCACAAGTTTCTCCTTACAGATACCCAGTTTAGGTCTCTATTATGTGATTGTTCTAGCCTACAAAAAATAGACCCAAACATAAAACAATCATAAGGGAGTACATATTTCACAAAACATTACTAATCAAGCATATACCTAAACTGTTGTAGGTGCACCTAATCTCATTCAGCAGCACACATTTGTATCCCAAGGAAAAAAAAAATAGGATTACTTTGACTTGGATTAATTTTTCTCTGACACTAATTTTGTGATGCATGGTCAAGAAGACGCTTATGAGATGAATTGGTATTCTGAATTTCCCTTTTTGCTTTAGTTATCTTTATCTCAACTTTCTCAGAAGCTGCAAAAGAAGTTTTGCATCCATACTAACCCATGCATCATTCTTGGAATAATAATTTCGTACTTTACTGGTGGCACTTTGTAAACAAATTGATACACACAAACACAGAGAAAGTGTACCACACAACTTTAGAACTTACCCCTGTGGCCTTCTCGTTGTAGATTTGGACAGCAGATCACCATACGGCAATTTTTTAAATTTTTCTCTACCTACTGCAACGTAAATTTGCCCATTCTCCAAGTCTGACCCATTCTGAACAAGTTTTCCATCTACAGTGTAGAGTCTGAAAAATATGAAAGTGCTTATTATAATAAACCTTAACATTCAGTGAGGTGCATTAAGAGCACTGAAAGCTATGTTAATCTAAACTCACTAAATATAATTTGAATTTCCAAATGTGAAACCCAATAAAGTACAGTGGACACCATACAACGATCAGTAACTACATTAAAAAAAACCAAAAAAACAGCCAACGAAAAAATCTAAAACCCAGACAACAAACCACCACGGAAAATCAGCAAAATAACTACTTAAATCACAGTTTATATAAAACTAACAAAGTATGAAAGTGCTGTAATAGATGAAATATTCTCAATTTCTAGAAAGAAAGAAAGAAATGGCTTTATACTTCTAAAGTCTTCAATATCTTTTCCCTGTTACCTTGGAAGGAATTTATGCCATGAGTTCCTGACCCCCTTTCCTACCAAGTTCCATGTTCCATCTGTGCTCAGGGAACTATGCAGTAACTTGGGAAGAACAGGGCATTCATGGCTGAAAAAGCCCTGTCCACTCAACACAGACCATGCCAATAATATTGCATTTATACTGTCATAGTGTCAGAAGGTTGGAACCTGGTGGGAGTAAGAGGGAATACAATACTACATGAAAACAAGAATCCACGTATCTTGGGTACCTATCAATAATGATTATGTCTATTACACCAGATGAATTTTTACCATAATGACTTCTTTTTGAGAAGAAAGAAATGCATCATGGACTGCTGGGGGGAATCTACTTCCTTGTCAAGTTTGTGATTTTATTTTAGCATGGTCTAAACAGTGAATAAGGAGGGAACATTCAATAATAAATTAGCTCTTTCCTACAAAGCATAGTTCGAAATGCAATATTTATATTGAATTTAAAAGTCAATAATAACAACTTTCATTTAAGCCTTAAATGCAGAAATGTTGGCTGGCTATCTAACTGCCTTTCTAGAAGCCTTCTACAGGAGCTATACTATGAACGAATTTATAGTCATAAATTTCAACACAATGCAAGGAAATATAAAAATATATACACAACCATACAAGGAACAACTGGGGAAGAATACCAAGAGGCTACCTTGAGTACACCCTTGACTTATAATGTCAAAAAATTTTCAGTTTAATAGACAAGGAGCTTTTGAAATCGATTTGTATGGCGGCATAACCTTGAACAAACAGGAAAAAAATCACGCACATTCCTACTGAACTAGGAATCACAGAATATCTGAGGTTGAACAAGATCTCTGGTGACCACCTAGTCCAATCATGTCTTGCAGAGCAAGGGCAACTAGAGTAGGTTGTTCAGGACTGTCTCTAGGTACGTTTTGAACACCTGCAAGGAGGGAGATTTCACTGCCTCTCTGGGCAGCATGTTCCAGGGTATGATGATCATTACTGTAAATTTCTTTTTTCTTCTGTTCAAGTGAATTTTCCTGTATTTCATTTTGTGTCCAATGCCTCTTGTCCTATCACTGTGCACCATGGAGAAGAGCCTGGCTCTGTCTTCTTCACTCATTCCCACCAGGCTCATACACACATTTAAAAGATCCCCTGAGCCTTCTCTTCCTCAGGCTGCAGAGTCCCAGCTCTCCTCACACAACAAATATCTTCAAACCTTTCCTCTCTGTGGCCCTTTACTGCACACGTCTTTCTTGTATTATCCTTGTGAAAGTACCCTAATTTTCTGCGTGTCTTCTGCCACATGGGAACACCTTTCTGAGTACAAAGACTGAAAATTTTGAAAGGTGAAATTGCAGCTATTTTGCTATTTTAAATCTAGATCACATTGCTGCTTCTTTGAGAAGAGGTATGCTAACCTCGTTTGTACTACTCATATTTATTTCATAGTGCAAACATTCCACAGGCATGCCAGCAATTCAAAGAGCAATTTATGTTTCACTACCACAGAGTCAACATCAGTTACACACAATGAAAATAAAACAAGCTATCAGAAAATCAGCAGGAAGCCTATTTCTGAATTAATCTCACTGTGTTCTGCTAGATTGCACTTCGCTTTGGAAACTCGGGGGAAAAACCAGCAAATCAGTGTACCACAGCTTAAGAATTGTTTATATATTTGTATGGGGCTGCAGATACAGAGGGATACACACAGAATAACTGTGGTTTTTTTTGTTCCTGATCTTTCATTTTGCTTGTGCTTTAATGTTATATTTAAAGCGCAGAAGTTGTTTGTTTAATATAACTCAAAAAGATGTTACAGATTACCTGTCGATCTTTAATTGTATTTTTCACCCTGAAAATAATAATCACAATAGCGGGATCAAACAATCATTCTCTGAAGATGAAAGTGAAATCAAAAATCCATTTTTAAAAAATGGATCTTCAAACAAATAACTAACTAAATTGACTTAACAAGCACACACAAGTTCTGTGACACTAAGTTTTGAAGCTACTTTTTACAATTTCTGAATTTTGAAGCCAAAATTTTCACCCACCCACTTTGCCACAACCATTCACAGACCAGCTGGATTCTCTCTGGCTTGTATTATATAACAAAAATGTCCCTGGGGTCACTTCTGAGGATGATCTAGGTTTGCACTGTGAGATGTCAGTGGACTTCCCTTTTCCATCCTGAATCCAAGCTAAAAGGTGGCAGCCAAAAGAAAGGAAGCATACAAGCTGACAAAGGGAGACAGGAAAGACACGATTTCTGGGACAATATCCCCAAATTCCCAGCTGCTGATGCACCCAGTACCTGCACATCGGGTTACTGCACCCCATCCCCATCAACAATCTGGCAAGCAGAAAACCTGCTTTCCCATCATCTCCCCTCTCATATTTCTTGCTTGCATACCTATTCTGATCAGGGTGATCAATAATTTCTTTTTTAAAAGCCCCATGTGAAACTGTAAGACTTGGTAGCTTTTTAAGTCTTTTAACAACATGGAACATAAAAAGCTGCCATGTACATAATGCATACATAATGCCATGTACATAATTCTCGTAAGTTCACTTATCCTTCTTTTATAAGAAATTAAATCTTCCCAGTATCAGGTCTTGCCAGATCTCCCCTAATGCTAACATAGTTGCAATAAACCCCAGCAAGTAGAGAAATACAATCACTTTACTAACAGATTCAATATGCATTTCTAATATTTTACAAAAAAGAAAATGAAAACTGAGTTAATATAGAAAACCATCAAGGGGAAAACATTAAATAATTAAAAATGTCATGTACATTATTTTATTTTCGAAGGATTAAAGATGAGCACTGAATGAACGTCTCAAAAGGAATCTTAGTTATATATTGAATGCTTTCATGTACAACATTCAGTTTCACCAGAGTGACATCAAGTAATGAGAATAAAATGCGAAAGATTTTTAAATTGCCAACCAACCTGAGAGCAGAAAGAACTGGTATGTTGTAAATGTCTTTTTTTGCTTTGTTCACTTCTGAATTATACTAGCTGAGAAACACATCCAGAAAGCTTAAACAAATGCAGGTTTACTTTATTGCAAGTGAAAGTCCTAAGTAGCCAGCCAGCTAATAGGAGCAAAGAAGTGGCTGAGAGGAAAAACTGGACGAGAGCTAATATTCAACAGCATTACCTTAATCTTCTCTCACCCTTATCAAACGGGAAAGCAAGCAGAAGAACTAAAAGACTACCTTATCTTCACTGTTTTGAGAAAAATTTTGCAGGCTTAGCCTCAGACATTGCATAGGCCGTGAAGAATGATTTTCCACAAAAGGTCCTTTCCCACCTGATGAAGAGATTTCTGTAATGTGCTCTGCATGGGGCAACACTGGAATGTCAGTAATTTGCTTGCACACCTTGACAGCCCACCTACACTGCAGTGTTTCTCACAAGCATCACATCTATCATCTTGCTCTAAAACTTGTGACAACTACCAAATGCCATTTCAGGTAAATTATTTTACACTGTAAAAGCCTTAAGGGACTGAAACCTACCTATCCAAGAGGTCACCTCCTATTCCTCGGATACCTCAACAACTCAGCTGAGATACTGGAACTGGCAAACCCCAACTATAACTTTGGCCTTGGCTTTTATTAAGAGGCTGAGGGCTGAATATAAACCACATCCTAGTCTTGGCCCAGGTACAAACCCCCAAGAATCTATAATATTCTCCTTGAAATTGCTTGCCCCAATGAATTCTAAGAACTATCAAAATTAAAAAGTAACACACATCACATGTATCTCACATTCCAAACATCTTCACCAACTTTACTATGCTCATTTATTTTATTATGACACATAACTTAATTATCAGTATTAAGTGTATTGCATTATTATTGTATTATTACAGGCCTACTAATTAAATAATTAATTAGTAACGATTAATTTAAAAATAACAGTCTTTCTTTTTTTAAATAGCAGTTGAAATGAAACCTGAAGATTACTTGGAGTCAATGTATTTCCACTTTTTGGCTTTTTGACATATTTTAATTTTTTTACAGTGAAACTTCCCATAAAATAAGAATGATCCATTATATCTACCTATGGAGTTTTAGAAACATATCTAGGTATATCAAATCTATCTTGCAAATATTTGGCTTCCTTATACCTGTGAACAGCTCCACTTCTGAGGGTAACTTTTCCTGTAACCATTTCAAGAATATGATCCCAGTGATTCAGTGTTTTCCTGGGAATGAGGAGGCGCGCTGCAGGGCTAATAAGGTCGCCATTAGCAATCAGGCTGAAATAAAGCAAAGTGAAATAACTTGGAGGAGCCTTTTAAACAAAGCTCACCTGAAGTGAACACACTACCACCACCACCCCTGAAATGGCAATCCATTAAGTGAAAATTCTACTTACAAGATAGTGTAGGGCTCCTGGAGAGGCTTTCGAAACCGTGCTGACACAGTGATCTTACTGTGAGTAACTGGCTTGACCTGCAAGAACAAAAGAAGAATTAGAAATTACACAGTCTCCACAATTAGAAAGTTTCCCCTGACCACCATCAGCAAGTGGGACAGCATGTCTTTAAAGCATGCATTTTATTCCAGTCCAGCTTCACCTTCTACATAGCACACATAATTACTGCTGCAGGTTTATGTGTGTGATGAATAACAACCACAGCACAGCATACCACAGTGCACCATAGCACAACACATGGTTTGCACTGAGAAGACAGAATTGTATGGACATCTTTGGTTGTTCTACAGACCCAAAGAAATACTCCCAAATGCTGTTCTTGCTGTCCTAGTCTTTATTGCTTATAACCATGGTGCAGGAAATTGAACTATCTTCTCTTTTTAACAATAAATGCCATTGCTAGATCTCTCTGCTATTATAATAACTACTTTTGGTCTTGTACAGACCTTTAATCCAAATCCATCACTAATTTATAAAGGTTCCTGAATACTTTTCTCATTTTAGAGCAATGACTCAGAAGTGAGAACTGCAGATTTTTACCTTTCAGAATAATGCATAGGTTACTTAATTCCCATCATTATCCCCTGTACTCTTTTGAACAGACACTGCATTGAGATCAACATTAATGTTGCTATTCTGAACAGAAAGTTAAAAAAAAAAAAAGAAAACAATAACCCCAAATTCCAAAATCATTAGGAAGTTGGTTTTTTTTTCATTCTTCCACATTAGCAAATCAAAATAAGGTGTTAAACCCAAACAAACAATCAAAAGTTACAGTACATGCATTAACAACTTGGGTACATTTCTAAAAAGAAAATACCACAAAAACTTAAAGGATTAAATAGCCAGCATGCAGAGAGACATGCTTTCAAATAGATGTACAAAGTTTATTTTAACTGGCAATTTTCTAGTCACTGTGTAAAGCAGTCAAATGACATGTTATGTTGCAGTTTAATCACACTCCGTGCTAACTTAACCAGTAATTCTCATTTAATTTGTGGGAAATGGTCTGAACTCCAGTGCTCTTAGTCTTTGCTTGGATTTTCACACAAACTCATTTAGTAATGACTAGAATGCTTTCCAGATCTTTCTCTTGCATACACTGAAAAGAAAGGTGCACAACCTAGTAGATATTCGAAATAGGCTAAAAGTTATTATTAAAATAATCAAATCTGACTTCCCCCGTGAGTCAAAGAATGTCACACAGCAAATTCTGCACCAAGCACAAATTCTGGAGGTGAGATAGCAAACTTAGGAGAAAAGGAACCAACAAAACAAAAGCAATGCTGACACTCCTCAGTGTACAATCATTTCAAGTAAAATACAGCAACAGGTAAATCTGTTGAACAAAATCTGTTTTCAGTGTCTGGTGAAAAAGAAGCATATTATAAATTCAACTCACTTCAACTTTTTGTGTTTTCCAAAGGCCCTTGATAGCTATGTAGCCCTCTCAAACATCTGTTTTTTGAGAGACTCAGAGGACATAAAAGCCCACAGTGGTCATGGATGGAGAAAGGCAGAATCAGCTGTGCACTAATGCCTAAGGTAACTGCAAGTTACAGTCCTGCTGTTAATTCTAGTGTGATCTGAATCAGGTGAAAAATTCACACCTACTATGACAAGCTTGGAAAGAGAGTAAGAGGTTGTTATCATACAGCTAATTAGGGGAAGCAAAGACATTTTTTGAGAACTGACAAATAACTTAGGAGCACAGCCATTTTCACAGAAACATTTGAAGCATATTCTACAGACCATAACCGGTAATTTATGTCACCAAAATTTGAAATGAAAGTTTACTGGAAAAAAAAGAAAATACACCTTAAACTGCAACATCTGAAAACATTTCTATTGCTCCTGTCAGCCATTTAAGGGTTATTTTCTCAGTGTAAGCAAGTTAATTAAGAGCTTCAGGAAAAAAAGGATAATTTTCTAAAGGTTATGCTACTGGAGGCTAGGACAATACTGATTTACTTCCATAGCATCAGGTCCTAATGTTTAGGCTCCAAACACAGGTTGCACACAAAATGGGAGTTACTGAACCATGGAGGACTTTAGACCTTTCCTTGTAGCTGGTAGGTTACCAGGATAATCCTCTGTAAAATACCCAATACATAAATAGCAAAAAAAAGTTGATTCCACATCCATTCCTGATGCTCATTTATGCTGCTCAGGTTCTTCCACAGTCTCTCCAAACAAAATCTTTATTTGCATCAAATTCTTCAACGCAGTCTGCAACACTCAGTTTCCAATGCTCCACACCACACTAGGATAGCTAGAAAGCATTCACTAGGCATAAAGGAGCCTTAAGGATAGTACCAGGTGTGCCCTATCAGTTAGTTGTTCCTGCAGGCTGATAAAACCATTAATTTTGGTTTAGGCTCCTCAGAAGGCCATAAAGTGATTACACGTAGCCCACTCACCAGACCCTGGAGAAAACAATAGCCTGACAGATGATATGAGCTTATTTATTATTTGAAGGATTGTATTTCTGCCAATAATAGATACTGAAGCATCAGCTTGGAAGTTTGCCTTTTGAATTGCTCACTGAGGATCATTAATATTTCTGGCAGCCTTCTGCACCTTACAAGTTTAGGCTTGTTATTAAACAAGCAAACTTCAGAGGACCAGCTTGGGCCGAGACTAAATATTTGTCTGTTCTACCTAAGCATGGCCTAAACTGGAGCAAAATATAAACTTGCATTGTTTATCTAAGCCTGTTTAAATAAATTTACTTTCTATATTAAAAAAAATTAAGAGAATATGTTAGTGCAATAATACATTTGATAAAGTGAAACAACAAAAATCAGTGCAAGGAAGCATGCTCTGAAGGCATGTTTTATAAAGATAACACTACACTGTGATTAAAAAAGCAAAAAAAAAGTAAGAAAACACCCACCACTTCCCTACTATACATCTTTCTTCTCATTAGTCTGACTGTTCTGTTCTTAGAGTTTAGAATAACTTCCATCTGATCAATGTTAAGCTATTTGTGGTCATGAAAAGCAAGATAGCTAACTTAAAAATACAGAAGTATACATTAATAAAGATCAAGTGCTCAGCCACAGTAAACCAATTTAGTTCCTTTGAAGTATGTGGAGTTCCACTAAACCATCCCAGCAGAAGACCTGGTCCAGGATTTAATTAAAGAATACATAGTTCTGCTCCGAGTATGTTTGTAGGAGGCACCACAGTGATGCAGTGCCTGACCCCTCTGGCACTGCAGTTACCTATTAACAACAAAGTGGTCTTGGGTGAAAGTTTGTGCTTACATTAAGAGACCAGCATCACTACCCCCCTAACCCCTTTATTTTCATTTTGCCAGCCACATTCTCTGATGATGCAAATCAGCACTTTCCCATTTACGTAAGCAACTGCAAGCAGATTTACATTAATCAGTGGTCTGAACCCATTATGATTTTATCTTTAAATTCTGTACATTGTTTGTTTGAAAAGACTCATTCAAGGGCAGCTTCCACTTCCTACTGACAAATGCTGCCAACAATTCATAATTTGTGATGAGATACTTACCTGAGGTATTGCATGACAACACACATCAGCTACACAAAGTGTCCAGGGGAGGAAGGAGAAACTTAGAGAAAACTTTATGTAAGCTGAAAGCAATCAATCCAATGAGAATCTGCAAGGCAACAAGAGCTACACACAGTTGGAGATACACCATGGGATCACAGACACCCAAAACCACCATAATTTTTATTTTTCTACTATTTAAAAGAAAGTTATTTCACACAGAGCCTCTTACAGCAGTGTGGATTTTACTTACTTCAGAGAGGACTTAGCATCTGTAAATGACTTTGCAAAACATCTTGCAAAGTCTGGGAAAAACAAAACAGCTAAACTCAGCACAGGTTAGGTTCTGGGAATGGGAATCACTCTGTGGTGTTTGAGGACTCTGTAAACACTTGAATCTCAGAACATATTTTACAGAGTATCTTGGAGTCCAGAATTCATCTTCAGTCATAATACATGGGGGTTGAATTTGTGATTAGCTCTGAGTGTCTCCTTTGTAAATAAAAACACACAGCACATCAGCATCCAACTGAAGCAAGGTAATAGAATCCATGCCCTCACAGCCGTTTGTTTTAAACAACATCCCATGGATTTTTCACTTATAATACATGCTAAACATAGCTATAATTTAAATATTTATAAAATTTACAACTAAATTAAAAATTTACAAAATTAATTACAAAATTAAATTAAATATTGACAAAATTTTAAAACCACAAACATAACACTTAATCAATATACAACACACTTCTCAATTTACTTTAGGTACTTACATCTTCAAGTGTTGACTGTTGGGGAAAAAAACAAAAAACAAAGCTAAATGACCAGCTGTCAAACCATTACCTCAGGCATACTGTCATATTTTTTTAATAAAACAATTTTGAATTAATCTGTGCATACTCACATGAATATAATGTGAATGTATGCATAAACATATACACACTTTAATATAATTTTCATAATAAAATTCTGTTAAATTTATATTCAGCTGACTAAATGAAAACAAAATAGAATTCTAAGTTTTCTAAGGCTATTCCAGCACAGGGAACAATTGTTTCATAGAAATATGACTTTTTTTCCTTTTTTTTATAGGAATTACTACACACCTTGACAAAAAATGCAGTCAAACTCATTAAATAACTTAAAGGCATGCCACTCCTTTTTAGAACACTATGGATGGGCTTGCTTATGCAGTCTTTCAAACTCCAAGAAGTGTTACATTGGGAAGAGAATGTCACACACATGGCATTAAATGGAAATCATCATTGAGAATGGCTATTCATCTAAGGACAATGAGCAAGGCACACATTGGTTTGAAGTACACAGATAAAAAGATAATCGTTTTCACTTCTTTCTTCAGACACATGCTAACCAGTAAAAGGTAATAAACACAATCTCTAACATGGAGATGTATCCAAATTAAGTTTATTTGTTTTAGTTGGTGTGAACCTCTTTGCTGATCCCCATCAACAGAGTTTTTGCTTCTATG